AGGCTGTTGGCCCCTTGCTGGGAGCAAGCCCCAGGATGCCCTATGTCCTAAAACCTGGCCACCCAGGACAGCACCCACACTTTGCCATCAGCCAGGCTGTGTTCAAATGCCATTCAAGAGCTGTGATTTTCCCTTCAACAGTCAAATGAGAATAAAGACAACTAACTCACATCACCACGCACATTAAATGCAATACAGTATGTGAAGCTTGGGCCCAGTTAATGGTTATTAGGATTGGTCCTTGGGGCTGGAAGAAGAGGGTGGGGACCCAGTCCTAAGAGCAGAACCAAGAGCTTGAGCTACATGCACAGTCCCTGCTGCAAGCTCTGACCCACTCTAGGTTGGAAGGGCTGCCCACCTGCCCCTGGGGTGGAATGGTGAGGGTCAGGCTGGGAGGCAGATGTTAGGAGCCAGAGTGTTCCCAGGAGTACAGTTTGATGCTGTACATGTTCAGGCAAGTGGTTTTGCCACTCTGAGCCCCCATTTCCTTCCACAGGACTGACATGTTCATTTAATCCATAGGCCCATTATTAATATTGCTATCCAGCCTAATAACCCTCCAAAACACTCATGTGGGCCTTGGAATTTTATCTACACTCCTTCCCCAAGGCCCTCCGTGGTCTTCCCTGACCTCATCTACCCACTCTTGGTTCACTCGAATCCAGGCACACACTGGTATCTTGCTATTCTTTAACAAGCTGATCTTGTTCTGGCCACAGGAACTTTGCATGTACTGTTCCCTCTTGCCCAGAACGTTGTTTTCTCAGAGCCTGTCTTTAAATCTGAAAAGTCGCATCATTAAAGGTCCACGTTTCCAATCCATTCTCCAAAGCAGCTCACCTCCCCTGCCCCATCGCTACCACTTGGACCTGTTTTTTTCTCTTGCTAGCACTTACCACCATCTCCAAATCATGTTTGTTTGTTTATAAAAGTCTGTCTGCCATGGTCCAGGCAGTGTCTCCTGGGCTAGGTTGTTCAGCATTTCATAAATGAATTAATGAATTTGTTCTGCCCACCCCACCCGTGCGGTTTC